TCCTCGGGGGCTTGCCTCAACGGCTTCGGCTATCTTGACAGCCGTAGCTCATATCGGATCAATGGAAGCTCCCTCTTTTAGATCTAGTGTGATTCTGTAGGGATGATCTTGTCTTGAAGAAGGAAGAGACTGGGAGCAAAGGTGAAATGCGCTTGGGACGCCACCACATGGCAAATACGCGCGGCGTGAGATCGGTGAGGGGAAAAGAAGTGTGTGTGAGAGATAGCGCTGCTACGAGAGGGGAAATTCCGTGTGGGAAGAAGCATAAGTTACAGGTTAATGTTAATGCTATTTAGTGGCCTTCTTTGACTCTGTTGGTTGGTGCGAATGAAAGACCCCAGATGCGCTGGGCTGTAGTGCCGGACCAATTTTGCGGGGGAATTACCCACCCATACTCGACTGTTTTAGGCTGCTTACAGGACCCGGGCTGATTACCGCGCTGGGCCTCAGTGGGCCACTCTCGTCTTTTTTTCAAGGCCCTCGGCCGCTGTCTCTGTCTCACTGGCAGCACCCAACAGCTCACTTTCGCGTCTCCATCGACCGGTCGACTCCCGAGCTGGCTCCATCAAGAAAATCCGGGGGAATATGGAGATGAAGAAGAGATTCCGGGGAAAAGCAAGATGAAGATTCTGGGGAAGCCTGTTCGTACGGGAAAGAACGGGGTTGCATTTTGACAGCTTCAGATTGAATCTCATCTTCTTGCTTTACTTGACACGTAGTGCTAGATCTGATGCTTCCATTCCATGCTTCCATCGATTTGGAGACTCTTAGTACACTCAAGCTCCGCACGTCCGGAACATTGATACCCTCGGCTAAAGCGACCAGACTGCAACATTCTCCAAGTAACTCACCCTCTCTCCTCTCCTCTTACCGCTTTATCCCCCCCTAACTTTGGAGAAAACAAGACGTCTCGTTACGTACATGAATGAATTCCCCAAAAAACATGGAACGGACAAAAAGGAGATGGAGGGTGGCCCCTGCTTAGTGCCTACAGGGATATGGCTTCACGGCTAAGATACCGGATGTGCGCTTTTGTTGAGCGTAAGCGGAGACTCCTCCAAGGAAAACCAGACACACAATCTCTTTTCTCATCACATGGCACTGGGGTTCTCCTCATAACTTAGGCAGGTTAAGGTAAAAGATAAGCTTGATGGCAGTTCTCCACTGATCCTCCACGCCGTTCTTTATTCTAAGGAATAAGCCAAGTTAGAGAGAAGTGGACTCGGTAGATATTCACGGATGAGAACCTTGTTTTGTCATTGTCTTCTAATCACTACTTTCTCATATGATGCCATGTTTGTGGATACATGGTCTGAGATGACTCAAGTACCGACAGAATCTACATCTCATCTCTAAGCATCTACTCTCTCTTGTCATCTAAAATCTCACCCCTTCGGTATTGTCCTCAGTCTCCACTACTCCGCACTCTCACTCACTCTCAGGCTTTACCCCAGCATCTACCACTGCCACCCGGAGAACATGACCTTTTTAGGGTTGGGGCATTTCCTCTCCTCATGCCATTTGGCTAAATCTGACTTTTCCTGACTCTTGGCTCTTCAGCCTTTTTTCTCTCCATGACTCCCCCCCCCCAATTCGTAAGAGCTGCCCCCAAGATACAAAGAACGAGAGCGTATCGCACCATCTCTTTGCTTCACACCACCAATTCGCCAACCTATCACTGGCTAACATTCTCCTGATGAGATGCCTGCATAACCACGTTTCATAGCCCCCCTCCATCTTCAAACTTTTTTTCGTGCTATCTTTGCTTTGTGAGGTCAGATCATTCCGCACTATTCGCCATTGGCTGTTCCGCACATCGTCACATACCACATGCTATTTGACGTCGTTATCAACAGGCTTCTCGTCTTATGCGTTGAGTTCTTGGCGGAATGTCTTCGATCCTTCTTTTACTTGTTCTGTTTGTGATACGTTTGCATCTTCGGACAGCCGGATGGCGTACAACCTCCATGCAGCATCACAGCCACGTCGCTTGTTCTTGTGGCATCGTTTCGTTGGGGTTCAACATCAAGGATGATCTTATGCATCGTTCATCATATGCGCCCGTAGTCGTCAGCGCTATCTATGCCCACGTTTTTGGCATGTGGTATCTGCAGATTACGAACGTGAGTGTGCCATTCCGTCCTGTTGGGTTCGTATCAACCTTTACTTGACAGTCACGATGGTGTTTATCGAACGATATCACCAATACCCTATACCAAACCCCAACTCTTGGCTTTCCCTCGTAATCCGAGCTATCCGTATGGCTTAGCCAAGACAATAAACTTGGAATCTCGACCTCTTCCCTAGCCTGCCTAGTAATCTAGATTTCGGGAGCGGGGATAATAGCACGGAGAATTTCTCCTCACTCAGTAATCTCAGTCTTATTGCAAAATTTGCTCTGTGACCTTTGCTCTCTCGTTGCGCCGGCATCCTCGGGCTTGTTGCCGACTCTCATCGGGACCGAGTGCTGTACGTTACACACCACTTCGGGCATCAATGTCCAGACTCAAAGCCCCTCCTCCTCCTCAAACTTCCCCACGTTTATCGTCTCATTACCCCAGTTTCAGCTGGGATCATGGTTGCCTTGTATTAGTGCAAGCCCTGCGCGGCTAAACTTGTCCTTTTGTTTGTTGCTAGTCTATGGCTTCATAGTGCCTAACTATATCGTAAATGATAGACTTGATCATCGTGGTTGCTCGGATTTATTCGGCTCTCAGATCATTTCACTACACCATCATGGTTCTGATCTCCTGTTCGGTGAAGCTCCGAAGATCAATGAGAGATATTATCGTGAAGGACGTTGACTTCCGATGGCTTAAGCCATCAATGAAACGACGTTGAACTTCAAGAATGATTGTCTCTTGTTTTGGCTGGATATCTCTCTCGGCTGGCGCGGTGAACCAACAACCCTAGATTGTCTTGTTGGGGAATCTGGGGAAGTCCGGGGAACGCTTGGACTGTATGGCAAGATCCAGCTCGTAGATCACTTCGAATACCCCTTTACTGATCATCACTGTGCATAACCAAGGGCCGAGGCCGAGGCCGAGGTGCTCGCTGGCTATTCGGCTCAGATGTTTCTACCGAGAATCCAGCACAAGAAGCCACAATCGGTCGATTTATTGGATCATGGAGGCAAACGAATCTCCTATTTCGAGTTTCAAAACAAGTTTTGGAGTATGGCTGAGCCTTTCACACCACCTATCTCGGTCTGGGCCTAAATCCTGGCGGTCTCGCCTCCAGTAAAGCCTTGAACGGTGCTTACAGATGACCACTAGTTCCAATTCTGCTTTCATAATGCCGTTATTGGAACTGAAGATTCAGCTTGGATGTTTGTATCCAGGTCATGGCAGAAAGTGGCAAAACGCCGTTGATTCACTTCGGCTGATCTTGCCTTGCATGAAGTGGAAGAATCAAGACAACATGACAAGAAGCTGAAAACCCGAAGTGAGCCATAGCGATGATTTTCTATGAGCTCATGGAGCATTTTGGAGGCTCTCATCTGTCTAATCATAGCCCGGGTGATCTAACGAGTGATTCAGACAGATAGTCAGTCACGAGGGTCTGCATTGAGTGTTTGCCACCTTCGGTCATCTAGCGATGAAATTTACCCAACACCAGGACCATTTCATAAGTGAGTCTAAAGAAGGCGTTATTAAAAGGCTCGATAAATTCCAAGTCTCATATTAGAGCTCGTTAGAGGAAGAGCGCTTGCCTTTATATCGTTGCGGCTGAGTGTTGTGTGTTGCTTTTCGGATGACCGGAGATCTGGGACCGAGGATATTGTCGAGACTACGGGCTGAAGGAATCACCGAAACTCATATCACTACCCATCTGCCTCGATACCTTTGACTGGATTCCTCTCTGTTCTTGATGGCTTTGGGAATGCTCTTTTGCTGGGATTCTATTGTCCTTCATAGCTGGAACTCGGCATCTTATCGAAGGTTATGAATACCTACCTCAATACCTAGTCACTCCCGACAATTCGTGCCTTCCAAATATCGCTATCATCGATATCGCTATTGTTGCTGGCTTCGAGATCACCTTCGTCATCTTGGCGACTGAACGTCTCATCTATCTCCTGCTCGACTGAGATAATGGACAATAGCTGGTGCAATGCATCTGTTTGAGGTGGCAAGGATAGTCTTGGTGGAGCTTTCTTCCTGATATTTGCTGAGGATCGCGAATTATCGTTGGTGGCTCTTGGAGCCTTTCCTTCCTTGATATCCTAATCTTGAAGATGAGACCCTTATCGGCGTGGGGGATCTTCGTCGCCCGCTCGCTTCCGTTTGCGAGTCCGCGAGATCTCAGCCCGCACCTCGATGGATACCTAGAGATCGTGGGGAGGGGTTCACAATTGCTCTAGGGCGGCTTCCAGGAGGGTGATGGATGCTTTCCGTGGCCTAATTCCCCAGAGAGAAGCTTCAAGGCATTAACATCACCGCTCGCGATAGACAGGTGGACTGGAATGAAGCTTTGAGAAGGTGAATTGTGTTGGTTCTGCCTCTGAGTGTGGGAGACCTGACCCTGCTGGTCTCTGCCTTGATCCCTGTGTAAATGCCATCTCCTGTGGGCAGCTGTTTCGTCCACTTGATATTCCTACCTACCCTGGAGCTACCTAGACACGTGATATATCGGTCACGATCTCGACCACGATCTCACCTGTTAGCAGGTGAGGCTCTTACCTTGGTCAGCTGGATACCGAAGGGTCCTTATCTCCCAGTATGAAGTAATAATTCAAGCGGGGGTCAGGATGGATCACGTGCGCTTGTCACTGACCATTGCATTGAAGATAAGAGATAAGCAACCAAGATCTGGGCACCGATAGTACCTTAGACAGAGGTGGTGACATAAATATATGGATCAGTATCTCCTTTTATTATCACCATTCATTTCTGTCAACCTCATTTCGTGTGCGGATTAATTTGTGACCCAACAGAAGAGGGCATTGCCCCACCAAGCATTGCGGGGTGATTCGCTTTGGCCGTCTTCGGAGCTGCATCCAAAAAACTTCGACAGCTGGACACTCGCGCGATAACAACATTTTGTCGAGATATATCTATCAGTCACTTCCAACATTAACGTCTTGTGTTGTCCAAGAAACTTCGAACGAAATTCATCATGGCTCCCGAACGTGTTTGCCTGTAAGTCATTTGCCACTCAATTGGTTCGAGCAAGATAACTGACCCTTGTCCAGTGCCTACTCTGGCGGTAAGTTGAGAGCTCCAGAAGCAATATCATCAACATCAACATCAACATCAGATATTCTGACCAATTGACAGGCCTGGATACTTCCACTATTCTTAAGTACTGCGCCCCCCATGTTTTGCTTTCTGACGGATTGCGGCAAGGAGAAGACTACGACGTTGTCAAGTCTTCGAGCTCGATGTGGAGACGACAATCATCGTAGATGTGGGATTGTTTAACAAGAGCTGACCAATGACTCTTAGGTGGCTCGTCCTTCAAGGCTATGAGGTCGTGTGTTTCCTTGGCGACTGCGGCCAGGAGGAAGACTTCGATGCCGTCAAGGCCAAGGCGCTGAAGCTCGGTGCTGAGAAGATGATCATCGAGAACGTCCAGCAGGAGCTGATTGACGACTTGGTGTGGCCCGCCATCCAGTGTAAGTCTTTACAGGCTGTTCATGGTAATGTAGCGGGCTTACTAACAGAATCCACCAGGCAACGCTATCTATGAAGGACAATGTAAGATGGTTCACCTCGGACGCTCTTCGATGACATCACTAATGCCCTAAAGACCTTCTCGGCACAAGTCTAGCCCGGCCGGTATTGGCCAGGGCAATGGTGCAAGTTGCGAAGGATAACAACTGCACGATCCTCAGCCATGGATGTAAGTTGTCGTGGTTTTACTGGTCTCATTACCGTTCGATCCAGTCGCTAACACGTAACTCTAATCCTAGGCACCGGTAAGGGCAATGAGTAAGTCTTGATCATGATCTCGATACATATTTTGTCGCTCTCTGTTGCTCTTGCACCGTACTAACTTTCTTCTAGCCAAGTCCGCTTCGAGCTGGCGTGGAAGGCATGTGACCCTAAGATGAAGGTTCTGGCCCCCTGGCGCATCCCTGCGTTCTTCAACCGATTCCAGTAAGCCTCCTATTGTATTCACTACTGCATATTTGAGCTAATTATTCTGCAGGGGACGTGCGGATCTTCTTAAGTTCGCCGAGGAGCAGAAAATCCCCGTCAGCTCCACTCCCAAGGCCCCATGGTCTATGGACGACAACATCATCGTATGTATGAAAGGTCCCATTGCTTCTTCGTAATACTAACTATCGATCCGATAGCACTGCTCATACGAGGCCGGTGTAAGTCCTACTACGGGAACACCTTTCTTTGCGCCCTGTTGACCCTGAACTTGCTAGATTCTCGAGCAAACCGATAAGGAGCCCCCGAAGGACATGTGGAAGCGCACAGTTGGTGAGGCGATTCAGCCTACAAACTTCTAGATTTTACGCTAATGCCTCTCCGAAGATCCCCTGGACGCTCCCGATAAGCCTACTCGCTTCACCGTCCACTTTGCTGAGGGTGTTCCCGTTAAGCTTGAAGTTGATGGCAAAACCGTTACTGGCTCCTTGGAGATCTTCAAGGAGGCCAACGAGTTGGGTCGTGCCAACGGTAGGACTGCGAACCGAAGGGCTTTCAAGCGAGTACTGACGCAGTGCCAGGTATTGGACGCGAGGATATCGTCGAGTCGAGGTTCATCGGTAAGTCTACTCTCAGGGAACTTTCACATCAGCACGCGATTGCTAATTTTTTTCATTTCAGGATTAAAATCTCGTGGTTGCTACGGTCAGTCTCGACTATTTCCTTACTTTTCTAATGATTTGTTGTTGTTGGAGACGTCTTTGAGGTTGCAGATGCATCGTCGATGTTTTGGCGGCCGGCGACGTAGATCATGGCCCCTTCGCAGGCGACACCTGTTCCGCTCTCACCCATGCACTTTGACAGGATACTCTAACATTGTATACAGATACCCCCGGCTTGACTATTTTGCGCAAGCTGCATCAAAACCTTGAGGTAAATTGTCACGTCCTTGAGCATTGGATTGGCTCATGCTGCGGTGTTTGATATCCCTTGATGCGATTCCAGAGTCGTCTCTTGGGCCGAAATTATCTTGCCGTTTAGAAGCGGAGCTGCCTCAAGAGTCCTCGAAAGCCTTAAGGGCTCAGGCTACTGGCCAAAGCAGCTGGACCTCAGCCCCTGAGGCCCATAGCTTCTGCAGTCCGGCCTTCATGTGGCAGTCCTGACCAGCGCTCTGGGCTTGTGCCGTTGCTCATTGCAATACAATACCAATCCAGGGAGTCAAGAGTCACCTGAGCAGAGCCAATCCAAACACTCTCTATCTTGAATAAGCTTAGGACTCCAGCTAACGATTGCTCAGGGTCTCGTGATGGATAGCAAGGTGCGCATCATTCGCGACCGTCTCTCGGATGACTGGGCGCAATGTATCTACAACGCACGTAGCCCCTTCCCTTCAAGCCCTGTCGGATTAGACATTGCTGACATCTTTTCAGGGAATGTACTTTACGCCTGAACGCGAGTTCGTTCAGCAGGCGATCTCTTTCAGCCAGAAGCAGGTTGATGGCAAGGTCGAAGCTCTGGCTTACAAGGGCAACGTTATCATCGTTGGCCGCTCCAGCGAGACATCCAATCTCTACAGCGAAGAAGAGAGCAGCATGGTAAGTACCTGAAGAGGACCGCTTCGGATCAAAACTAACATGAGAATGCAGGACACTCTTGACATGGATTGGAGTGTCGAAGACACAACTGGGTTTATTAACGTGAATGCTATCCGCATCGCCAAGTATGGCGAGCGCAAGATCAGGGATGGCGAGCCCCTTTCCAAGCGTAAGTAGACAGACTTGGGATGCTAGCCTTCCAGCGCTGCAGAAGCTTCTGGTAGACAGAGGAAGATCGGCGAGAATGGAATGGTTTATGTTGTGCTTGGACATCACGAGTACGAGAAACAATAAAAAAAAAGCTCTTGTGTAATACCTTCTTCACTGCTCAGTGAGATCAATTACCGTGCGACTGTCCGTTGAAGAGAATAACTCCTGCAAAGTTGGAAATCGCATGCCTGCAGTTGGGCTGTCATTTTCTTTTGGACATGCGACCGATGATGTTCTCACCCTATCCAATTGCCGCTGCTCCATTTGACACCCTCAGCCATCTTGTCTCTCACTCCTGTCCACTATTGGGATATCACAAAGACTTCACTTCAATTGTTGCCTCAACATAATCTGGATGGACGTTGACCAACATGACCATTGCCCCTCTCGGGGTTTACGGAGTTTACCCACAACGACGTAATCTCACCTCCATGTCCAATGCTTTCCCAACTTCTCATCGCATTTCACCCTAAATAAGCGGTCGAAACGAATCCTATATACATTCAACTGTGATGTTCTCACGTGACGATGAAGTTCCAGTTCATCGACAATGACTCTACCCAGAAGCCTGGTGCCCGCAAGGCGATACGAAGTCATGTTATGAAGGGCAAGAATCTTGGTCGTACAATACAAGGTCGTGGGAAGAGGCATGCTGCACCTCAATTGAATGACTTGTACAAGGGTCCAGACCAATCGAAGAAAGATTTTGGCGTAGAGGAAGGAACCAAGAGCCTCGACGGTGCTGTCGATAACGATGGCAATGCCTTATTGTTCCCAGAAATCGCAGACTCAGACACAGACAGAGACACAGACACTACATACTCTATCAACAATCCATACTCAGGAAAAGAGTATACGTACTTCTCATTCCCGGTTCAGTTCACTCCGTCCATGCGATACTATGTCTACGAATGTCAGTTTATCTTGGCTTAGCTCCACAACAACAGCTCACTAACCACCTTCAGTCCATACTGCGATCTGCAACATCATATATCCGTACGCCTTCTGTAGACCTACAGATGAGATTGGCTCACCATGGTTCAGGTACATGGTAGCAGACCAGGCTTGTAACTTTCTCGTCTTCCCCTATCGCGAGACTACCACTGACCCTAGCTCCAGGCCTGCACTGTCTTCTCGCCATGGCAGCGACGTATCTCAACGTCCTACGGAACATCCCAACCCCCAGTCTCGAAAGCATCGAAGCAACTCGTCACTTCTCCCAAGCCCTTCGCCTCATGAACCCTCGACTCTCTCAACCAGCCTCTGCTCAGAAAGACTCCAACATTGCTATAATAATCTCACTCGCAATCCACTCAAACATAACTCAAAACCTCACCGCCAGCACCATGCATCTTCAAGGCCTTGAGAACCTCCTCACTTTCCGGCCCGGCGGCATCTCCGACATACGCGAGTGCAACCGCGCACTACTCCACAAGATCTGCCGCACCGACATCGAACTCGCGGTTGCGCAGGGCACACGCACACGCTTCGGTAACGCGGGACTCACAGCAGCAGCGGCAGGGCCGATATCTGCTCGGAATCCCCCATATCCGTTGAACCAGATGAGTGAATTGTTGCGGCAGATCACACGTGAACTGCTGGCGCTGTGCCGAAGACCCGGGAAGGCAAAGATGTCGGGTCTGCAGTACCAGGATGTGCTTATCTCGATGTGGCAGAGACTGGTCGACTTTGCACCGCTGAGTGGCACGAGGCCACAAGATCTGATGGATGATGTGTGGCAGCTGGCCTTGTTAGCGTTCTTGGTTACCGTCACATGGTCTGCGAGTTATCTTAAGAGTGTACACTGTAAGCTCTTGCACAAGCTGCTTAGGGAGCATATCAAGAGCCGTGCACTACTGGCGAAGGGAGAAGAGTATCTGCCTTTGTGGTTTTGGATAGTGTTTGTGTATGGGCTTTCGTTGACGAATGGGGATTGCGATACACTTGTCTTGGGTGAAACTCGCGAGGCTTCAAACCTATTGGAGATAAGGATCTGGGAGGAGGCGAGGGCTAAAGTGAAGCCGTTTCCGTGGATCGGCATTGTCCACAATGTTCCTGGAAGGGCTTTATGGGAAGCAGCTGTGGTCACTGTTCCGCCTCAACCTTCTACTGTGATAGACTAGACCTTCAACTAGGTAAATAGAGAGGGCTGGGGATGATCGAGCCTTGCATTGATAGTTATTGCCCCAAGCCTCAGAGACGTCCAAGACGCCCGGCCGCGTTTCATGTACCATTTCAACGAGGAAACGAGAAGCTAACTCACCCTAACATGAATCTCAAAGTAATGTGATTGGCCTGATATGTGCGAAGGGTTGGGAGTTGCTATGGTGTCTCAAACGACTTGGAAGCACCGTAGCCACCCTAGACGTAGTCATCTACTATTTATCATCATCCCAACAATTACTACACTTACCGCTGATTAACATATATCTTCGCCATCCGCTCTCCATCCCAGACGTATCTTGCTCGCGTCCAGGGTTCGTATACCGGCTTGAGAGATGACTCGATCAGCAAGCCATGTTGATCGATATCGCGCATGAATATGTCTTCCAGTGTCAGATATCCCGTCGCATCGCGCGAAATGACCCAAAGGAACTGGCAAACTCGAGTGTTATCCCCACGAGATATGCCACCATCAAGGACCTCTCTTTCACGAAGCTCCCTATCGACGCCATGCATAAAAGATAACCTAAAGAAATATGGGAGTCTTTTTTCTTCTTTTATAAGATTACTTTAATGCTTGATAAATATTTCTCTAACTTGATATTAATATTTTAAAATTCCTAAGGTCTTCCTAGCATCTTCACAACGCAGGGCCCTGAAAAACCCCGAGAGTCTGGATTCGGGATGGCCCGTTACAACAAAACATGTGAGATCGGCAGTTGAAGCTGGAGCTGGCATTTGAGAGGCAGAAGTCTTACTTGCCATGTACTTAAAATTTGACAACTTGGAGACCGTATTCATCAGCAAAACCCGTTCTGCAGTCCAGGGTTCCGTATGAACAGCCCACTAAGCATTCAATAGCTCGCTAGACCAACCCAATCTAGACCCATCATCCTCTCTAAATAGGAAACCCCATCGGAGCTATTGATTCAAAGCTGAGAACTATCGAACAATTCCACGCGATAAACCTAGACCAAGACCACGGAAATTTCCCATCATGCCAGGAGAACGATCGAGGCAGCGGGAAGTGGACGCCTTCGCAACTGTTATATATTCTTAGTTCGCTCTTATTCTCAAGTGGCGTAGGTGATTGATAACCTTCTTTCGCTCAGTCACTCGTTTTAGCCTTTCGGCTTATTCGTTCGTTCAAGATGCGTTCCGTTTCAGCGCTTGTGGCTTTGGCTTTTGCGAGCTCGTTTGAACTTGTTGCTGCCAGCAATTGCAAGCCCTCATCACCAGCTGGAGCTAAGACTACGGATTCCGCTTCAGTCACCGGCGGAACAGCAACCAAATCAGCACCTTCGTCCGAAACGACCGAAGGACCAGTAGTCATCACTAATGCTGTGACAAACGGCGACTTTGGAGGCTATGATCCTTCATCAGATGGCGGTATCTACGCCTTTCAAGCCGGTGGCAACGCGAAACTCCTTCAAGGCCCGGGATATCAGGGAGACCACACCGAAGAGAGGAACTGTGTACAACTCAAGACCAATTCAGAAACTCCCGGTCAAAAGCGAGATTTCGTATCCGAGAACCCCTGGATTCAGCAGCAGCTCGACAATCTGGAGCCTAGTGACTTCACTGTTCGCTTCTGGTACTCTATCGTGAACAATGCTATCGCGGATACGTGTCGTATCGAAGGACTTTACGGAAATGTTCAATTTGGAGCAACTCCATACTTTCCTGTCGTCGCTGAAGGCAACAACTGGTTGGAGTTTGTCGACTCTATGCCTGTCACCACTACAAGTGGAATGATTCGTTTCGAGCTCAACTGTATCAACGGAGGCTCTGCTGAAGTCTACTTCGACCAAGTCTTTGTCTCTAACAAGATTGGCGATGAGTGGGTTGATGGCATTTCGTTGTTCTTTCCTACGTCGAAGCATGCTGCTACCATTGCTCCGGCTCAAACAAGCACCGCTCCAGCTGTGGACACAACTACGACTAGCAGCGACAGCACCGAGTCTTCCGGCCTTCCTACAACCCAATCCTCTCAAGCACAAACTACTACCGATGAAGCCTCAGCAACCGACAAGACAGTCGAGTCCACCTCAGCCTCCGCCTCAGCCCCGACCTCTGCACCAACTAATCCTACCACATCGGGCCCTAAGCTCTGTGCCAAACTCGGAACTGGCGCAGCTGGTCGAGGCTGCGCCAAGAGGCCTTATAGCAGCACAAAAGGCTACAAGGGGTACGGTGGTAGTAAGATCACAAAAGAGCAATGTGCTGCTCTCTGCCTTTCAGATACCAACTGCCAAAGCTTCGAATGGCTTTATCAAGGCAGCGGCTGCGCCAACACCTGTAACCTTCTCGCCACGAACTGGGCTGACGTCCCTACCAATGGAGGCCTTGATGCCTCTTGGGCTTACGACCGAAGCTGTATCCAAGAGGACGAGTGCGCCGAGCAACCTGCTGGTTCTTTATGCGTAAACGTCAATGCTGATACGCCCGCCAAGTCTTGTACTCAAGTCAAAGGCAAGGCAAAAGCTTGTGCCAAACCCTTCCTGACTGCCTCGACGAGGGGCGTTTGTGGTCTTAGCAACGAATGCCGCGATCTTTGTGCCAAATATCCTTCTTGCAAGTCTTATGCGGCGACATTTGGGAGCTGTAGTTTGTATGACGCCAGATCTTCTGAGGTTGCCGAGGCCGGAAGTGAGCTCTTCTGGTTTACGGATATGGATTGCCATGCTTGTGGACAGGGAAATGCTTACTTCGACTACATTTCTGTTGGTCAAGGCCCTGCGAATATGCCTCAGTGGACATGTGCTGCGGAGGACAAGACAACTTCGACTATGGCTGTGCCGACGACTACCGATCCAGCTATCGCAACCACCTCTGACGTTGAATCAACCACGATTGCAAGCCAAGCCAGTGGCAAGGCCGACTCATCAACAATTATTCCAACTACAACTACTGCACCTCCCTCCACCACAGCAGCTCTGTGTGCCAACGGCGTGCCATCCCCCGGAATCTGTTCCGCCGCAAACGTTGTGCCTTCAACAGCAACATGTGGCAAGCGTGGTTGGCCACGCAATGTCGAACCATATGGCCGTAGTCTCGCTGACTTCCCTAATCAAAACACATTCGAAGACTGTGCTCTCATTTGCAAGCTTGATAGGTCGTGCAAGGCCTTTGCTATCGATCCTACTCGATCTGGGATGAGGTGCATGTTCAGCTCAGACCCAACTATCGATGGAGTCTCCAATGCACCTGGCGTATGGAGTAATTTGGAGTGTATGAGCTGCACACTCTGCGGTGACGCAGTCACTTCTTCGCAGCCTGTATCTGAAGCCCCCACAACCATGATCACCTCGACACGACCAGCTGGCGAGGATTCCTCCAGCACCCAAGCTGCAACAAGCGCGTCAGGGGAACCAACCACTACTCAAACGACACAAGCAGAGCCAACAGATTGTGTAGTACCCTCAGCCTCTCTAAGCGACGACGTTACCTGCGGTATCCCCGGCCAAAGCGGCCAACAAGCTCAAAGCGCTCGTCTCTTAAACTATGTCATCAAACCAGTTGGAAGTCTGGCCAACTGCGCTGCCGTCTGCCTCCAACGGGCAGATTGTCAGGGCTTTGCGTACATCAAGAGCAACACTGAGTGCTATCCCTTTAGAGTTGGACCTGCTAGCTTGGGAATCACGTATAATCCTCAGGGCACGGAGAAATACTACGATAGGGGGTGCTTCTCGTGTGCTTCATGACGGGAATATCCGTAAGGGCGACGTTTTATCCATGTTTCTCGAGTAGGGTCGTTTATCTATCACATAGGCCCCAGTCATCTAATAGTCTAATTTCATACCTTCAATCCTGAGAGATGAAGATACTTAGAGAAGCTTATGTTGTCCTAGGATAGCTTATGGTATCTTATAATAACTTAGGATAAACTTAGCAGCCTTTTGACAAGTTTATTTTCACCCATGGATGCAAGCATCTCAAGCCCTTTGATACCTCAAGGCATGCCTGAGCAAATATCTTGACATAACTACAGAACCCACGAGTGATTAATACTCCCTTCGGCTATAGATGTCGATCTTAGCACATTTCTAGAAAACGCAGCCGCCCGCTGTCATCCGGTAATAAACACTCCATCAGCCCTGAAACCCAGCCAAGCTCGCTTGTTTTCAGGAACACTCTGCCAAGATATCTCAGCCTCCAATGTTTCCACTCGCGAGACCCGAAAAACGGGGAATAAGCAGCTTGGCGCCGTTGCCCAGGCGGTGATATTCTCGTCCGCCAAACATAGGAGAGCAGTGAGACTCCTGATCTTTAGACTTAATCTTAAGTCTAATCGGATGACATATTTGTGGAGATGTAGAAACATTTATATCTGGGCTCCTCTCTCATTGGGATGGTGTTTTGGTAACTCACTTTCTTTTCAACTACATTCTTTATAAACCACACTTACATTCTTTATCTGTCTATCGTTAAGGCTGTGCCTATTATCACCATGATGCGATCCGCCCTTATTTCTCTTATCCCTGCCTTCTTGGCCACTGCTTGTCCTGTCCCCCAGGCTTCCGAGTCTGCTGGTTCTGTGGTTTCTTCTGGTAGCTGCGGTGCAGCCGAAGTTGATGAGCTCGTTGGGTACGGAGCCAAGACCACTGGAGGCTCTGGTGACCCTGTCACCGTCACCTCTTGCTCGGAGCTCACCTCTGCTCTCTCCAATGGCGGCGTCATCCATATCGACGGCCAACTTACCGGCTGCGATATCATGAACGTTAACAGCGACACCACCATCCTTGGTGTCGGTTCCAGCTCTGGCCTCACTGACAGTGGTTTCCGCATCAAGAAGGCCGACAATGTCATCATCCGCAACCTCGCCATGAAGAACCCCCCCAAAGGGATGGATCTCATCGACATCGAGACCTCCACCAATATCTGGATCGACCACAACGAGTTCTCCGCCGAGGGTATCGCCGGTGACAAGGACTTCTACGACGGTCTCCTCGACGCCAAGCGCGGCTCCGACTTCCTCACCTTCTCATGGAACAAGTTCTCCGACCACTGGAAAGCCAGTCTTATCGGCCACAGCGACAGCAACGGCGATCAAGACACTGGGAAGCTCCACGTTACTTACCACCACAACTACTGGAGTAACATCAACAGCCGCGCTCCCTCCATTCGTTTCGGAACCGCGCATATTTACAGCAGCTGCTATGAGGATCTTCCCACATCTGGAGTGAACTCTCGCATGGGTGCTCAAGTTCTGGTTGAAACTACTGCTTTTGTTAACGTTAAGCGACCTATTGTTACGAACCTTGATTCCAAGGAGGATGGATTCGCTATTGAGAAGGACAATCTTTTTGAGAACAGTGAGGCCCAGATCACGCAGGAGAAGGATTTTGTTCCCCCTTATGACTACACTACTGACTCTGCGGATTGTATTTGTGAGTATCTCAAGGAGAATGCCGGTACCGGTGTCATCAACGCCTAAGTGGTGCGATCTGGTATCTGCCAAGCTTGACAAAGGGAGTTCTAGACAAATATAAAAGCCTTTCATAGCCAATAGACTCTGACTTTAAGCATAAGACTTTCCCAAATAACTATTCCCGTAGAATTCTCATAACATTCGTATTAATTCAGCCCATGGCCTAAGGAAGCAAGAAAACTTCTGACCTAAATCTAGGGTATCATTATTAACTAATCTAAAGGCCTTTTAACCCCGATTAGATCTTATTTACCGACAGTGTAGTCATCCTTTCTGATGAGACCTATTCGTCCATGATGGTATCCCTTTGGTCTAATCACTACCTATCCCAGTGCGACTGCCCTTGCTATTACTTGTTCCGAAGTTTACAACTACAAAATAGCATATGAGCCAGGCCGCCATATTAAGCATTTTAAAGCCATATTCTAAGCGTTATTATGTAGTCAGTTTGTTGGCAAAGCCAGAGAGTGTATGTCTGTATTAATTGTCTTAGGCGGAAAGGAGATTATCCTTGTTCAGCTCTCTCTTAAAACCCTGAACTATTTTCAACCCAATTAGCAAACTCATATATGCAAACAATCACTAGTTCTAGTACAGTTGTTATTTTAAGCCTCAGGAGACCAGTGCTGACGATCTTCAGGTACAAAGGTTGCCTACAGGGGTGAAGACAGGCATCCAATTACATAGCAAGGTGTTGTTCTTCGCCGACTTTTCCTGCAAGGTTGGTTTCGTATACATCAAGTCATTCAGATTGTTTTGTGAATATGATTAGGCTGAATTCGCATCTTGCTTCCTCGTTGGAGTGGTTGATGAAACGTGACTGAGCGACTTGCATGTATTGGTGCTCTTGGCTGCAGAGCCTGATTCTGTGAGGCTGAGCAACCCGGTAGAGCTGAACAACAGATCATGTCAGACTGATACATAAATGTTCAGGGACACCTCTTTTCCAAAGATCATGTTCCGTCAGGAACACAGCCCAAGATGTGGGATTCCTCAGACTATTGCACTTCCACCTGCGAAGACTACCCGGAGGACATTCCCTCTTACGGCGACATTGGAGCGATCGGGGTAAGCACAAATTTACCTCACACCGTGGGAATCACGGTCAGACATATTCATGAGACTTACAGCGTGGATGGTAGTACTAGTTCTCATCGGGTATTATCTCAAAGCCTTCGATCCTAAACTGGACCCATTTCGAAAAAAGGGCACGCAAAAACTATCCAAGTATCCGAACTCAGTCGACTACTTCGTTAACAACCTTCTTCAAAAAGTACCTGGTCTATGAAACGACTCCTCAAATCCAGTACCATGCAGGTCCTTGAGGCTTGGAGGGATATTCAACAACGTAAGACTCGATTCTCACCAGCCCTTTCGTACATACATAGGCTCAGGTCATATATATCGCAGTGCGTCCTGATGTTTGCCGATATCCAAAGCTTCACAGCGCTCGCAATCTTGATTAGCGCATATGTAGCTATGGGCTGCGATATAGTTGCCTATCACTAGCAATACATGATTTATCTTGCATGGATGGCTTCCGTCACCCACCTCGCAAGCCTCTCATTCCTCCGCAACCACCTTATCAATAACTTCGTGAAATGCATCTGGCGCCTAACAGCTATGGCTGTTATTCAAATCCTGTTGTCGGTGGCAGTTGGACTGGCAACGACGTTTGGCGACAATCCTTGGTACAGGGAAGCTGATCAGCTAATAGGAATAGAAGTTCCCCCAGCAGAGGGTGGTCGCCCTGCCATCTGCTACTTCAAACAAGGTGTCGATGTGAACTCGATCACCTTTTCATCGGGCGTTAAAATGATTCTTCTTCTTCTTTGGGGTTTTTCGATACGCATTGCCAAGATATTTGAGAGGTTTGAGGGGGGTCTGCGCAAGTTTGCATATCGTATGCATCACAAGTCAAGGATTTTGCGATACGGTGTTGATGACGGTTCTACCACCCAAATATGGGATCCTAGAGCCCGAAGAAAAGGGCAAGGTTTCTTTGGTCATCTACTAGAACCTTCCAAGATCGCTATCCTCGTCGTACTCAGCATTCAGCTCGATTTCCTTACTTCCTTTCTCGCCGAGGTATGTCATCTCTTACCTACACACTGATGAGATATTTCTAACATCGTTTCTTAGGTACACTGGCTACTCTTCACCATAATCTACATTACAACAAGACTGGTCAAGTTTCGAATACCCTCTCCCGCGGATGATAATAAGTGGACATTTGGCCAGGTTCTTCCGCTGATCCTTCTTGTTGCGCCGATTGCAATAGCGATCGAGTCTTTCTACACGGCACCTAAGACTCACACACCACAAATGACTCATACCAATACTCAGCAGATGAATGGTCCCGGTAGTGGCCTTGACCCCGTCGCTGGCCTTGGCCATGTCGACAGCCTAGCCTACCGAGGTGTTTTCTTTTTGGCAGCGCTATCATACATCGAGGTCGGAATCTACTTTGTCCTCGATCAGCCAGACACAGAAGGACTTGCTTTGCCATTGTTGCAGATTGCATTATCAATATTACTGTTACAGCCCTTTTACCAGATTTATTGGGTCGTCTGCGACGTTTTTCTGTCCAAGGCGATTTGGAGCAGGCCATTGAAACTGACAACTTACGATACCTTATTCCTCGGATCTTCAGCGATGCAAGTCTCTCTGAACTTTTGCGCGTTAAATTTTGGAATTGCAAACTCAGGGGCCTTGCAGGCTGGCACAGCAAGCCAAAAGAGCGTGGCTCTGTTACTGTTTTTTTCTTGCAGCTTAATACCATTTTGTTTTACTTACCTTCTTTTAGTAAATCTCATTTATCACATGCCGAGACTGAGAGCTACCAGATGGCGATTTGTCATATTGTTATTTTTCCCATGTTACATCTTTCTGTCTCTCTTTTCAATGTCGTGTTTTTTTCGCTTCTTGAATTGGAGGGTTGGTGTTTCCTACTTTGACCTGTACATGTTAGTTACTGTGGCTCTGAAGCTTTTGCAGCTCTTAACCTATGGCCTGGAAGTTTGGGCGGATAGAAAGCATTGGGCCAAATGGGTGACTTTTTGTTTGAGATGTGACCTACTGCTCGCGTTTTTCTCCCTTTGTTCATTTCTCAATCAAACGTTGGACTATGCTTTCATCTTTCTACTAGCAGGCGGTTTTGCGTTGTCTTATCAGATATGGGCTTTTATAGGTGTGAGCTTTCATATGTACAAATAGTCACTCGGGCAAGGTATCCTTTTGGCACTATTCCAATATAGATGGCCCGTATGGATGGAATCAATGCTTTCATCTCCAGTTCCCCAAGGCTACAGATATATCTTTCAGAACGGCAGAAGTTAAGTATAAAACGAGCCATGATGATCCCAAGTTTCTTGACCATAATCTATTCTTGCACTGAGTTGTATCAGCCAGCGAGTTCCAAAATGCTTTAGGATACAACATCTACGGTATAAATGACGTTGACTGGTACCATACTGGCGGGACCTGGTGGATATCGGTATTCCGCTCTCAACAACCCCAGATTCCGCCCCCGCATATCAGCCCCCTCTTCAACTTATAACTCACTTGACTCAACTCTCATCTCCTCTCCTCACTTGCCTAGTCACAACTCTTACATACAACTAAATATCTCATAATGGGTACGATTTCGATAAGAAAGTTCATTCGCTGGCTCCCAGACGAGGCCTCTGAGCCAACATCGACTATAGTCGTAACATCACCACGCCTCAAGCGCTTCGTTGATCTACGCATTCTCCTCCCCGATAACGACCCATCATGGACCGGTCAAGATGGTACGCACCTCCTACACTGTCTCCCACTCACAACTAATATGCATCAGAACCCCTTCCTCTATCTCGTCTAGACTGGGCCATAGCCGGCACAACAGTATCCACCAAAATCCCCGACCCAGACGGAAACTTGACTTCCCACTCAACGTTCCACCAATGGATATCATCCCGCACTCTCGACTCCGACGCCGGCTTCATGTACCCTCAACCAAACGATCTAACCCTCGAAAAGGGAAGTATGGTTAACCCTGATACTGGAATCGACACAGCGTATGAAGAGCTATGGCATGATGCTACGCCAACTGCTGTGCCTGGCGAACCAGCTGTCAGAGCGCTTGTTCTTCAAACGGAGGATGAGAAGAACGGAGTGAGGGGCTCAGTAGTGAGATTGGGATGTTATGCGCAGGGGCTGATCAGAGTTGGAGAGAATATTTCACTCGAAAGATGGGAGTGGAAAGAGGGGTGGAAGAGGACTATTAGAATGGGAGATGCGGAATTGCCGATTGAGAAAATTCTGGGCGAAGAGACATTGAAAGAGGGGGACACGGTTGATGTTGGTGGGAGAGAATGGAAAGTTATTGAAGAGAGTGGGAAAGACGGGTCAAAGTTGTGATGGCAGTTCACATGATCTAAAGCAGTCAACTCAATTACACTCATGTGAGCCTCAATTATCATCAGCGCAAACTCTCTCGGTCCGCTCGACCGAGTTTGAAATGCATTTTGTCTACACATCTGTGTAGCGGCACTTAACAAGTCTTTGAACTCTCACACTAATCACTACAGCGATGCTCTCTCGCATGCCGTCTCCATCCAGTTCATTTAGGTCCCCCTCTGGTAGCTTTTGTCTTTCCTCCCCGGTCTTTCCGTCATCTAGTAGAACCACCTTCTAGGCCATCCACCGCTGAGCATCGCAAACAAACGCATTATAAAACTTGATCCTCCTCTACTTTGGTCCATACAGCAAAGCCCGCTCCGGGGACTTCCTCGTCCCATCATGCTTCTTATAAAAACTCGAACAACATGCGTAGAAATTTCCACGATGTAAAAGCAAAACGCCCTTCCATGGTTTAAACAATTGTGTTCGTAACCGATCAACATCTTCTGAAACCGAAACCTGTAAGCAAGGCGCAATAAAACAGTGAATGCGCAAACGATATCGCAATCGATATCGCAATGTGAAGCTTAGACAGCCCAGCTGCCTCGTCGTTCTCGGACACCCCATCCAACGGGGTCCATGCTGTCGAGGTTGGGGTGCTGTCTAGCCCACTCCTTAATATAGGATTGGAGAGCATGCCATCGAGGGCATCTCTGATCGCGAGGCTTGTCGGCCTCTGATTCGACGAGGTGGCCTTGGGCGAGTTGCTTCTCATCATCTCTCTCAAGGTCTTCAATACTCATCAAGCTAATACGTGAAAGCTCGCCATCAAAAGCGCGGGCCATAGCAGGATAGCCTAGCGATAGATAGTTGTACACTTGGGTGACAAAGCTATCATCAAACTCCTGATCAATCTTATCTTCGAGCTCTGCATGTGCCTTTTCCTTCTGCAGACGCTCGTTAATACCATGCAGCATGTGGAGTCCCTTGGGGGGACCGGCCCGTGTCCGGTGCTGCGCTACACCGTTGGCCTGGCCATTGGCTGCTCCGATCATGGCAGGCTCGTCTGTGTATGGTGGAGAGCTGATTTTTGAAGCGTCACCGGGAGTGGCCGCCGGTCTGGGCGTGGCGAGCATTGGTGGGGCATGCAGGTCTGCTGGCACCAGGTAGTTGTCATTCGAGTCTGATCTGAAGCAATAGCCTCTCCAGAGACCATTCTGACCCGAAAGATCCCGGAACTTCTCTTCGGCATGGCGTTCTGCGAATGGGTGATCGGGCTCGAGCTTGGTCTGCTTGGGAGACGGACACCTCCGGAAAACGAGGTCTTTGCCGAGCATGGGCGGTGTGACACCCAGACGCTTCTTCTGGAACGAGGGAGCAGGCGATCCGCGTCCGAAAGGTCGGTATCCGAAGGGTCGGGCGAGGTTGCGCGTGGCAGCAAAGCCGCCGGTGTCTGGGGGTATTTGAGAAGCTTTGGCGTACGGGACATCTGCAGATCTAACGGCCGGGGCCGATGGGATGAAGGGCATCGTAGATTCGCCAATGTGTCGGGATGCTGCAGGTGCCGGGGACGATGCCTTGCTGCGTTGCTCGGCTGTCAAATAAGATTCTGTGTCAAGCAACGGCATATGCGTCTCACCAATCGGGCCACTGACACCGATCGATGACCGCTTGCTACTGCTATCACGAGGGGTGTTCGAGGTGGTCCACATCGGATCCGGAGGAGGTTCAAGGTCCATTGCATCGAGGTCTGCCGTATCGGTTCGCATCATAACATCCTCGTCCTTCTTAACCGCTGGTGCTTCCACTGCAGGTTCTTCAACGAGGGTGTCCATCTCCCCAGGCTTCTCGTCAATCGCCATAGCATCCTCATCTTTCTGCTGTTGTTCCTGCTCCTGCTTGGCCTCGACATGCTCCTGCATGTGTTTATGCCACCAGCCGAGATTGCTGTCGGACGATTGCCGCCGCACATTGTGATGGTGTTTGACGGGATGGCCATGGTGATCATGCACGGGAGAAGTGCTCTCGGGAGATTGATCACTTCCTGAACTCTCACGGAAGTAAAAATGATCGACATTTCCTTCACGAACGTGACTGTTGGGGAACGCGGCGAGAGCGGCCTCCTGCATCTGGCGCTCCGCCTCCTTCGCAGCGATCTCTAGCAGAAACGAAACGACATTCTCATCCTCGGATTCGCGACGTCTGGGGCCATTGGAAGGGGATTCGTGGGCATCGTCTCGCCGCCTGCCGCGGTGTTTTGTGGCGGTGTAAATGTTCTTTGTGTAAGGGGTAATGTCGGTCTTGTCGGTAGGTTTGGTCGCAGGTCCTGCATCTCCAACTCTGCGGCTTCTACGGGACGATTCGATCAACTGGGGAGCGAAGCGTCGCTTTGGTCGCTGCTGGTGCTTCTTCTGCAACTCATTCAAGCCAGGTGAGGGAGAACGAGGCGAGGGCTCGGGTGTAGGTTCGGGATTAGGTCTCATTGTGCGAGGCGTCTTTTTCTCATCTGATCTGTTGCTTGATCGACTGGTTGAAAATGTGGTCTCAATGGGCTCTGGAACAAACCGTCGCCGAGGTTTGTCTGTCGTGGCCATGATGAGGGGAGGAGAAAGAAAAGACCAGGGTTCGGGAATAGATGACTCGTGCGGACTTGACTGGGTTGATGCGAGCTCGTTCGTACTTGGCCTACGTTGCGCTCGCTCGCTCGCGGTGCCTGTGCCTGTCCTGTGCTTGTGATGGAGGGGCAGGGGGGGACAAAAACAAGTGAGTAATAGTAGTGTTTGCCTTAGGTAAGGGCAATGAGAAGACCGCAATTGGGGTAGACCGCAGGATGTTTCGGTGGAGGAAGGGTAAAAGGCTATAGTGGGAAGGGGAAAAGAAGAAAAGTAGAAGGGAAGATTAAAAAAATGTGAAGGTGGTTTGCTAGTGACGACAGTCAACTTTTGCTCTGGTAGAGAAAAGCAGTTGGAATAAGAGACTCCGACTGCGCGGGCGACCTTGGTTTTAGCAACAGCAGAGGCCAGAGCAAAAAGAGCGGGCGGGGCGATAGAGGCACCTCACCTCACTAAACAGTACAGTACCAGGATAAGTCTGTTTTCGGTAGTAGAGGTACATGGATGGAATTGTCTCTGATCCATCCATTCATTCTCTTGGTGACGAGAATGGAAGCGGGAAATGGCTGGCGTCCGACGCCGGCGGTCACAAGTTCACATTTCAGTCAAATCAACGGGCAACGGACCCTTGTCAATGGATGGAGTGTCAAGTCCATGTCCGGTCAGACTCTGCTCTATTCTCGCATTGGAAGTGCCGCCACAAACTATCGAACAAGTTCAAGACCTAAGCCTCGCTATCAATTGTCCAGCTGCCTTCCACGGCCTCAAAATCATCATATGTTGCAGACAACTCCAACTAAAAGAATCACCAAATTTCTTATCTGCCTACACTGGAGTTTCTTGTTTTTCAGCATCTCATCCCACATGCCACCTTGAATGACACGACGCGGACACCAGTTCCCGAGGCAAAAGTGCAGTGCAGAAAAGACCCCTGGAACACAAGGAGAAGGGTCTGCCAGCCCAGCTAACGTTAGCCGGCCCAGTCCAGCGGGCACCACCAGTACTGTAAACTCAGAACCCAGGCGCCTGTCATACCCTGAAAATCAAAAATGGAGCATGTCCCCTCAGATCTTGAAGTGGGTGGCAATGATGATGATGATGTTCATTCATGGTCCCATTTTCAGGGGCCGCGTCAAGCGCACATCGTATCTGGGCACTGCATTTTCCCTTTGTTGTTCACAAACAGGGCGCTCAATCTCTCACAATGTGAGGCTCACGATAGTGTCTCTGCCTCTTACCCCAGCATCAAAAGCGGTTTCCCCGTGGGAACCATGTCTCATTGATTCTGTCAAGCCTAGCCCAGACCAGTTCTTGGTGGGGGTGTCTTGGAGTCCGTCAGGGCCATGGTGGGGTCTCATTAACATGGGATATCAGGAGTAGATGGACAGTGTGAGAGTCGCAAGAGTCAGGATATTACTGTGCTGAGGTCATCTTTCAAGCCCACGATAGCACTGAGCTTCACATCTGACTCAGAACATACAGTACTTTACTCTTGAGCCCACACAGGTTGGTTACTTCACTCAATGCCCTTTGATTCATTAATGTACTCAGATTAATTGCAATGTCAGCTCCCCACGTCCAACAATTCCAATCCCACCAACATGCAAGCAATCGTCCCTCGTGTGGCTATCATCGACCAGGCCTCTATGATCTCATCCCAAGACCAACCCGCGTAATAAAACACCGTACATAACCAAGCCAAGACCTCGAATACAGGCTCGCCACCCGCCGTCCGCGTCCGCCCGGGGGCTCTGCTGGTGTTCCCGCCCGGGCCCCGAAGCCGCAGAGCCCCGGTGAGAAACAGCCATCCCAAGAAACCTGGAAACAAACAAAATGGACATCGACCCGCTGCTGGGGATTGACGTTCCTGCAGTTCCGTCCTCACCGACTATTTCAGACTCCATCTGAACCGAAACTCTGAAACCATTGTCAGAAGTCTAGACAACTAGTTAGATCAGGACAAACTGAACTAGACATGCACAAAACTTCAAAAGAGGTGTAACCAAGGTCCTCACTAAAAGGCCCATAAACTCGTGGCCATTGTGGCGACCAGTCCAAGCAAGAACAAAGAGAAGAATTCTCATGACTTTGTCTCTTCTCTTTTCTCGAAGACAGCAGCACTTCTGGCTGTTACGCTGTAACCCTCCATCACCAGGTCCGCAAGGTCCGTTATCTCACAGGCGTCACACCCTCGCTAAGCCAGAGCCTCAAAGGCGCCCCCTTTCTCTGCTGTGAGATCTGATGTTGGTTGCAGGTGCAGCCCTAGATGCGTGTTACTGTTGAGGTTCTGTGTTACACGGCAGCCACGCCATTATTTCGTTGAGGATGAACTGGAATTTAGTCTCAGAAAGTTCCGACAATTGTTTCTTTGCAAGTGAGTCAGTGTAATTGGCATGGCCGTATCTCCGTGTTATTATGTCTCTTTAGCTGAAATTGAAGCTATCGTGAAAGTTCAATAGAACGTCTCCTTCGTAAACTCAACCCCCCACGCGACACCTCCATTACAGAGTTATCTCATGCGGGCACGCAGCACACACACTTTCCTATGCCGTCACATCCAAAACAGCCACTCACCCTTCTCAACTTGACAACCCTCCATCACAATACGATACCGTAGCGTGCTCTAACGTTAGCTCAATTTCTCCAGCGGCTTCCGAAAGCGATAACTTGAGAGACAACATCTGAGCACAGCAGCCACAACGAGCCGTTGCATTCGCTCTCCACGGCAGTGCAACAAAGTAAAGCTTCACTTGAATGAATTGGATGTTTGTTTCCATCACCGACCGCTCAGGTCCCTTGCTTTACAGTGCAGTTCCCCCGTTGATCCCCCGCACTCACCGCATCAGCCCGCCCTGGTTCAATGCTTGTTTTCCGGAAGCCCTGCCGTGAGCTAAAAGTACACGAGACCCTCTAATCATCATGGATCTAAACCTCCGCCATTTCATATCACGAAGAAACACGAAATCCCCCAGCCCTTGGAGTTTTTCCTGTACCTATCCATCTGCTGAGCCCACGCTCTCCTGATGTTGTTGAGTTAAAATTATCCTGGTCCGTCGAATCAATTGCGGCTCTTTTATCCCGTGCCCCTTGACCTCAGGTGATATCCGCATCTTGTTCCAGCTTTGTATTTATCCAATTACACGTGGGCCATTTTCCATGCCATCTCATTTTTGGCAATTCGGTAGAATTGAGTTTTCGGTCCTTAAGAGAAAAAATAACATGACTTGTGTTCTTGAGATCTTGATGGCTTACATGGCTCTCTTTGTCTTTGGTGCTAATTGATGCACACCGCTTGAAGACTGAAACCTTGGCCTCTTTGTTCTGCCTTTGATGTCGTATTCTTGAGAAAGTTGGTTGCTTCATCTCCCCTTCGACGAACGACTCAATGCTCCTCTTTGTGACATCTCAAACCGTAGCAACGAACCTTGGCCTGTGTTATGTATCACATGGAAGTCGTGGTACCCCAAACTGCATCGAGATGTCTCACTTCTCCATCATTTCCACGCCGAAGTCGGCATAGTAGTTCATCAACGGAGTAAACATCCAGCTGAGATCGCTTCCAAGAGATACTTACCCCATCATCTTGAGATCAACTCCACTCGCCATGTGTTTCCTAAGATTCAAGTTCGCCTCCCAAATTCTCAATAAGCTTAGAGCATCAGCCCTGAAATAACCTTTTGTTCAAACAAAGCCCACTGCCTTCTGGAATGCGGTTCTACCATCTAGCCAACCGCCTGTGTTAACAACGCTGATCTTCAACCGCCGATCGTAAAGGGTCCGTCGTACAGTCAGTTCACGACGTCAGTTGTTTCCCCGAGTCGTGCTTCAAGACCTACAAGTCCCGTTTCACGTGCGCTACTCATTGAGCTGATCTGTATCGATTTGCAATTGATCTTTACGGAGAAGCGGAGAGTGATTGTTTCGCAGGGTCTTATCACGACGTCAAGCTTGTAACTTTATTCCAACGAGTCACTGTACTTCTGAGATTGTCACTTGAGAAGAGAGTCACTGTGTAGCGTTGGGAGAATATCACCAACTGCAGTATTCCATGTCACGATGGAAACGCCCGTTCTCAGTGTGATTATCATTCGTATTGGCCTTCCTTCACCCCGAAAGCTTCTCGTATTAAGCGCCGATATTGGTGATCTACAAATAGCAACCATCGATCTGGGTGAAATATCCTCTATGAGGCCACGATCTCATCAATTGGAGTCGATCTTTGCTTTCTCAGTGGAGGAGTCATAGTTTCCAGCACATGAGCGGCTGCTTTGCGCCCAAGGCTCCAGGGTAGCACAAGCTGCACGACCATCAAGAGTCAAGAAGGCGATGACCTAGGTCAACGACAAGAATTGGGACTGTTTTCTCGAGAAATCTCAGATGCTGGTTTAATTGGCTGTGTCTTTCGTTCTCCTTTATTTTTCCAGCCCGATGTTATCGCTGGTTAGTGAGCTGTGATGTTGGGGAACCACACGAGCGATCTGACCTCGACGTGATGATGGTGGGCAAATGCTGGATAAACTATAAAGGTTCTCATCCACAATCGTGGAAGTCAGTCGAACGCCATCATCCTAGTCAGTAAGAAACATCGATATTCTGGTACCTCAAGGTCCGGCGTGCGGTTTGGGTAGCTAAATCTAAGATGAGTAGATAGCACAAGCAGCTTGCGAGCTTAGTTGGCAGGGAGTCGTCTTTATGTTCTCGAAGACAAGCATATGGATGATACTTTGAATGAGACTAACTCCTTGTGGGCAATGAAACGCAGTTTCTTGACAGAATGGCAAGCTGTCGATGGTACAGCAGCATGAAGTCGTATTGAGTTCGAGAACCATAACGACGTCTCACGCATCGAACAAGACTGCACTCTTTGTTTGAGGGTTTACACTGCCCATTCAAGCTCCCCGAGTCAAGCGAGACTCGTTTCATTGAGCATCAAGTTAGGTATATCCCATAAACAAACAGCTGTTCTCGAAAGGTCTTCAGAAGATCAAGCAACGTATTGTGCTGAGTTAAAGAGAGAGCCGCGCTGTCAAACTTAACAAAGAGGGCCAAGTCAAGGGTCATTCCATCTGCCATTCAACTGCCGACCCCCGCTCCCCGGAGTCCTCGCGACCCTCGGGAAGCGGTCGATGAGGAGATCGCTACCTAATTGTGAAGCAAAATCCGGGGAAGTATCATCCAGATGCTGCATAGATGAGGGGAGGAGAGAAAACTTAAGGACCTCTTTTCTAGGAGAAATACAGACTTAGGTAAGTTTAGTATATCTTAGCAAGCCTTTAGACCAGTTTATTTTGGCACCCTGATTTAACGTCACAAGTTTCCTGTAGCCGATGGGCGTTACTCAGTGAGTCAGATCATTCCAAGTGAGCTGAAGCGATGGCATCAAAACACCATGAATTTCTCAGAGCTTGTTTTTTTCACGTTATTGGGTTGAGCATTTCTAAAGAAGCTGATTAATTCAAAAAAGTAGTTAATAATCTCAACTTACAAATTCCTGCACCGGGTCGTCATAAATATCACCCAATCCCCCAGAAATCTCAGCCAGGTCGTCATCTTACGCCCTCAACTCCACGACTCGGTCGTCATATTAGCAAAAACAGCATCGCCTCGGGCGTCACATCGGCATTTAACAAGCATTTCTCGCTCCCTTGAATCGAATGTTTTGTCAGCTAGACATGCCGCTATACCGAAGGAGGCAATTTTTCCCACGCTCGATCCACTCGCCAAGCATGGTCAATGACGGGGCAAGCGAGATTTCGAGATACTACAAAGCGTGATGGCATCCTCTTCTTTTTTCTTGTATTATAGCCTTGGTTCATGATTAGACGGTTGAATATTACTGTTATCTTGTCTTGTCTTATTTTTATTTAATTTATGTGTATATCATGAGCCGAACTGATGAGGAGAATCCTGGGGTCCAGGCTGGACGAAGCCGGGACTCTTCTATGGATGTTGAGAAGCTCGGTCGTCAACGACCTGAAGTGTTTAAGTCAATATGGGCCGAACTAGGATTTGGTTTCTCTGTGTTTTGCTCTATGTTAATGGCTGTAAGTTCTATATTCATTATCGTCGTTCTATCCTACACCACCGGCTGTTCAATGCAGGCACTGACATCATCAGGAATTCTTCGTCAGTGGATTTCATGTTATCCTTCCACCATTAGCCGAAGAACTCAATATCCCGGCTGCATCACAAACATGGCCCTCAAGTGTCTTCTCACTCATCACAGGAGCCATGCTTCTACCAATGGGCCGCCTGAGCGATATGTACGGCGGTTACATCGTCTTTAATGGTGGTCTCCTGTGGTTCTTGCTCTGGGCTCTCATTGCTGGGTTCAGCAAGAACTATATGATGCTCATCTTCTGTCGAGCCCTTCAAGGCTTCGGTCCTGCGGCATATCTTCCTGGTGGTGTTATGCTGATGGGCAAGTTCTATCGCCCTGGACCTCGAAAGAATCTCATCTTTGCTCTGTACGGGGCTTTTGCACCCCTGGGATTCTTCTTCGGTATCTTCGTTGCAGGTCTGACAGCAGAGTATCTTGACTGGCGCTGGTACTTTTGGATCGGCACTATCGTATTTGCCGTTGTCTCTTCAGTTTCCCTTCTCGCTGTCCCTTTCGACTTCCATGATAGAAAGACCGATATCCCCATGGATTGGTGGGGCGTTGGAACTATTGTCCCGGGCCTTCTCCTCGTTGTCTACTCTCTAACAGATAGTTCACATGCCCCCCACGGCTGGGCAACACCCTATATCATCGTCACACTCATCCTCGGAGTCATGTTCCTAGCTAGCGCATGGTACGTCGAAACGCACAAAGCTCGAGTTCCTCTTCTGCCTGCCGACCTCTTTGCGCCAAAGGGAATGAATCGTTTGCTAGCCGTGCTCTTCATGGCTTTCGGCACCTTTGGACTCTTCCTCTTCTATTCAAGCTTCTATATGGAATTAGTCTTGCACAGGTCACCACTCATCACTGCCGTCTGGTACATACCAATGTGCGTTGGTGGGCTCATCATCGGTACCGTGGGAGGTTTCACACTGCACTTCCTCCCAGGACGGGTGTTGCTTTTCATCTCGTCGTTAGCCAATGCGATTACCATGTTGCTATTTGCCCTTATGCCTGAGAACCCGAATTACTGGGCCTGGGTTTTCCCAGCGATGGTCTGTTGCACAATCGGCATCGACATTACCTTCACAGTCAGTAACATCTTCCTGACGACCAACATGCCGAGCCATCGACAGGGACTCGCGGGAGCTCTGATCAACAGTGTTCTCTTCCTAGGCATCAGTTTCTTCCTCGGTATTGCAGATATCGCGGTTGCAGAAACGGCGAGCCTGGGACTTCGAAAGAGCTATAAGGTGGCATTTTGGCTGGCTTTTGGCGTGGCATCGATTCCATTACTCTTCATCCCATTCATTCGGATTGGTTCCGCTAAGAGCGAGCTTACAGTGGATGAGCGGCAGAGGTTGGAGCAGGAAGCAGAAACACAAGCACAACCGCAGGAGCCGAAGACTTAGATGGCCAGGGGAGGCGAGAAAACGTTAGGAACTTAATCCTAAGTGACAAAAATACTTAGGCAAGTTTAGTATATTTCAGTTGACCTTTAGACTAGTTGATTTTGGTACCATGCTTTGACGTCAGAGGTTTTATTACCTCGAAGGGATGGGAGGTATCTCAGCAGGTAAGGGGAGGGAGTTAGGGACTTGATTTCGAATGACAGATATCCATGGATTATACTTCAAACAAAACCAGCGTTGCATATAGCATGTTATTTAGGAAACACCCGGTTCGGTTTTATTCAAATGGCAATCCTCAAATTGTATTACTCCATGTGAGAACATAGAGTCTGGAAAGGAGAGCAGCCATTATTCATGCATGATGCTCTCCAATACTTGACCAATACCTTTCCACCTACATAGTATGCTGTTCAAATACCCATTACCCATGAAGGGTGAAAGTAGCACCATTGAGTATAATAAAATCTGTTGATATGTGGTTGAGTAAGATCTCCCCAGTCTATAACACAAGATTAGATCTAGGTACCGGTCGAACTACGCGAGGGAAACGTGATTTACCCCATCGGACATTTCTGCTTCACCAAACCTGCTGGGTCGAAGATAGCACAGAAGTAAGCACCCAATTGAGGATACATTGGCCAGCCCTCAGGAAGCAAGAAAACATCTGATATTGAATCAAGGTGCTAGGAATACCTCATCTAAGGTTCACTAAATCTATATTCAATCATACTAAATTTACCTAAGTCTTTTTGTCGCTTAGGATAGAGGTCCTGAGTTGCCTCCCCTTGCCAGTCTCCGATTCAAACATCTGTCCATTTGGTCTTGAATTGCCATAGAGCAACATGAGTCAAGATAGTAGTAAAAAGGCTCCCCTAATAATAGGGCCCCAACTACCGCTGTTTCAGGACCTCCATAACAAAAACGTGACCCGGCAACCCGGGTTTTGGACAAGAAGCCGATTGCAACAGTAACGTCACGATGTAACTGGACCCTCCGGAAGATAGCGGCTCTCTTACGCAGAGTTGAGTTGTTTCTTGGTTTCAGACTCTACCATTTTAGAGCTGCAACGTAGATGCAAAGGACCACATGCCCCTGCATGAAATGATGAGATAGCAACGTATTCCCTGGCTGCCACCTGTATAAATGGCCAGGATCCAACGTGGTGAACTAGGGTTGCAGGCGCCACAATGCGTTTTTCTGCAACAGTGGCTGGCAAGATAATGAAACCGGCAACGGGGTTGTGAACGGCGGGTTCGCAGATGAGAAAACGTTGACAAGAGTTTGTGTCGTTGAGGCTTGGCCGTTGCGAACTGATGGAGGCGTTTTTGATGTTGAAACCGCGATAATCCTGGTCAAAACGGCCCAGAGCTCTGGTGTGCCCATTAAAACCCCTGTCGATGATCGAGATTGAGAGGTAGCCCAGATATCAAAATTCTTGATATGCTGTTACAAGCCAAGACATTGCTTACCACTTGATCATTTATTGCTGTAAGCGGTACGGCACGGGGCGAGCTCAAAGTCTGACATTCGTCGTCATCATGGCCGAATCTTGATGCGCACACCGTTCGTTTTTCACCGCGACATTGCTTCAGCCAAGCCCGAGCCATCTGCGGCTGCTTTGCAGTGTTGAGCGAAGTATCCCAGGGACTAGCACTAAAGGTAGCATTGAGCCTATGGGAAACCTCAAAAGCCATGAGGAACAGGGACTAGAAACTTGGCCGCGAGTGGATTCTTCGGTAGAGTTGGCGTTGAAATCCTCTGCCGCTTCCGGGGAACCAAAAAAACAGGGCACGACATGACGAAAGATGGTGGGTATCTGTTCCAGCGTAGGACTCAACAGTTATCAACGGCGCTATCTAAAGCCACAGTCAGAAAATGTTATCTTGTTGATGTTCATTGGAAGATTATTTGTTGTTTTGTTAGATCATGGAGGGTTGAGAAATCTGGGGGATGAGCCTGGGCCCGCATGCGAAACGAGGTAAAACATGCGAGAGAAAAGTCTTCTTTTTTTGTTTCTTTTTTCGGTATTAGATCATTGGTCGACGGAGGGAAAGGAAGGATCAATCTTGTGGAGACTGGCGTTTCTAGTTTCCGATGGTTGGTCGAGTTACATCGAATGAACGGAAAAGAGAAAACGAGACCCATAGCATCGCGATCTGGTCATTTCTTACAGAGTCAAAGAGATCCGATATTTGAGATGGGTAGGGGATAGGCATTATCGTGAAGGTATTAAGGGATGCTGTTGCTGCAATATCAGCTGAGCCCTATAGCAGATCTAAGCATGCATTGGCTTATCAACCTCTCCCTTTAGCATTGATCAAGTTAGACTTGTTCATGGGCGGGTTTAGTGTAGAGTGTAGAGTGTGGCATCCCATGCCGTTTTCAATCATTATGGGAAAGCTGCCTTCTCAGAGTAAAGCCTCAACTCTGTTTTACCTTTTAGGTTTAAGATTATTTACTTTGACTTTTCCGTAAACAACATTCACTCTGCGCGATTCAATCAACGTCTCATCCATTGAATTGAATTGACCGATGAAAAGTCTTGGTATCGTCCCACTTAAGTCAACGGGCATCCTTCTCCAACTTCCAACTTTTTACAACTTTGCGACATTGGGATCCTTCTTTTCTTCTTTCGCGCCGATACCATTGTTACGCAATCACAGCAGACAGACCAATCTCTCTGCCAACACCAGCCGTACCGCGACTTGTACAACTCTGACCGACCCTTTATCTCGTTGTTTGCTTCTTGTACGCCTGGGACCTTGCGTACTTGTCTGACCCGAGAGGTACATACACGACCGTGCATTGCGCTTCAACGCTTATATCGACTCTTTTAAAGCTTCCTCGTTGCACTGCGCCTGCAAATGCGCGCCGTCAGGTACGAGCCAATTCTCCTCGTAGTCACGCTTTTTCGTTCCCTGTATCGTCTCATCGTCTCATTTCATCTCACATCTGTCTTCTTGTTTGTTTGTCTGCCTGTCTTTGTCTTGAGTTGCGGGCCTTTCCGAGCGTACCTGGTTCGCTTGGTACCTGGATCATCCTGTCTCTCCATGCGACGCGGCCCAGCATTGAAACACCAGGATACCTTTCCGCCTGGCTTGTGCGTTGCGCTACACTACCAATTCGATCCAGCTAATTCATCTTTCTTTGTCAGTGCAAGGTTGTGCTGCGCAGGCTATAGTTATCATACTCTCCAGCCGTTTCAGTCTTGCTTATATCAAAGTCGACTTTTGGCTTCCCGCCTTGTTCACGTTTCCACAAGGACCCCTGCCTTCAAATATCCGTTTGTCAAACTCTGAACAAAAGTCTCGTCGTTTTGGACCAGCCATCCTAACTTTCCTTCTAGACATCTTCGCGCTGTCGCGCCGTGACCTTTTTCTCATCCAATTCTCTTCATCCAACAGCTTCAAGAGCTTCAACGTCCTTGCGCTCGAGCTCTCGACCCTGGTCTGACACCGGCCTTCCACTATCGCAAGCTACTACCGAAACTGCGACACCTGCAGCCAGCTATCATTAGAGCACACCGACTTCAGCCCAGCATATCATGGGGTGCTGACCCGTGACCTTCCATTACCACACTACAAACTACAGTTCGATAACAGCTGTCAGTGCATTCGCTGTGCTGCGCCGTCCACCCTTGATTACATTCGGGTACTTGGTACCGAACTTGGGCAATCTTGTCCATTTATATCCAATTCCCTGTCTGGCACGGCGATCTGGATGTTAAGCGCATCCTTGCTTGATAAGAATTAACACAAAGGCGGCTTCCTCCCTGCCTTGTTCGGTTGGCGCAGGATCGCTCGACTTCTGCGCTCACCAATCAGTCATCATGACTTCTCCAAAGGCTACAATATCCAACCGCGGCCAAGAGAACGACGACACCCTTATAGAACCTGTGCTATCGTCTCCTCTTTCGACGCCTCAAACAACAAGTCCTGAGCTGGTCTCGTTTCAGTCGCTGGCCGACCAAACATCAACACCACTCAGCATCATGGACGATTCATGCTTTCTCGACATCGACAAGTTCATCGCGAGTGGTCTTGAGTCAAGCAGCGTTTGTAGTGTTGGTCTCGACAAACCTACAGCGTCATCCAGCCAATCGCCGGCGATTACAGCGGGGTCGCCCGCCAGACCCTCGGACCCTAGCACTAAGAGCCAGCGCAACGCAGATCCTCTTGGATGTACAGGGACAGATGCAGATGGCGGCCTCGCCGAGCAGACACGTGCCGCTCATGAGGACAATGTTTCTGGATCAATCGAGAATGAATCAAAGCTACAACAAACTTCTAATCGGCAATCGTATCGGAGATCCCAAGAATACGACCAAACAAAGCCATCAGAGGCCATTGCGCAGCCAAAAGTCATCTCGCCAGTGGGAGCTGCATCAAATACGACAGGCTTCGCTGCCCAAAATAGCAGCGCCCCATCAAATACCGGCGAGCCCAGTCTTGGTTTCAGGGGCCCTCATTCCGATCAGCACGAGTATCGAATAGATAGTTCGAGCAGAAATCCGCAATACGAGACTGCTCTTGCATCTGGAGGGCCTTTATCGGTGGAAAGGCTCCCTGCGCCAGGGATAGCCACAGCACAGGCACAGGCAAGCAGCCACTGTAGTGCTCCTCAAAGCGCCACCCAGGCCATGTCAAGCACGGCCTCCACTAGCAACAATTCTGTTCCCCCTGGGCATCAAAGACACCGCAACGGTCATTCCTCACACGACTCCCGCGACAACGACTTTGCTCCCTCTCACACAACATCCCTTACTTCTCGAGTCGGTGGCATAAAACTCGATACGAGTTTTGTCAAGCCCACGCCAAGACCCATTGTTCGTACAGCGCCCGACTCACCTTCGCTCAATATCCAACATCCAACTCCCGACATCACCTCCCAGGCTCGATCTGGAGCATACGTCGGGAACATCGCACAACTCGAAGCGACCGCCGAACGATTGTCTATGACCAGTTCTATCGACGATGCGATTCGAGATTTACATACTGAATTAAAGCGATCCGATAGCAGACGTTCTTCCATCCTTGCTGCCAGCGTCAAAGCCTCAGGGCCCATTGATGATTACACCAGCAACCCCGGCTCCGCTATCGAACAACTAAGACGACATCCTTCCATCGCTTCTTCTATCGTTTCTACAAATAACGCCGCACGCCACGGTGGTTATTCTCCTGGTGGATACGTACTTTCGCCTAATCACTCCTTTACCGGACGACTTAGATCAGGATCCAAGAATTCGGCTGGCCGACCAGACTTTGATCTCGATACAGTTTTATCCCGTCACG